TATTTTTTTTTAGCTCCCTTATCGAAGATTAGGTGGTTACAGGTCTGTGGGTTCATTTCTGGGTCTTCAGTTCTATTCCATTGGTCCACAGGTCTGTGCTTGTGCCAGAACCAAGGGCCTTGTATCTAAAATATACTTAGAACTCAAAAACTTAAACCCCCCAACAACAAATCCTCAAAGAAACAACCACGTGATTAATAAATGGGCTAAAGACTTAAAGAGAGACTTCTCTGAAGAGGAAATAAGAATGGCCAACAGACACATGAAGAAATGCTCAACCTCTCTAGCCATAAAAGAAATGCAAATCAAAACAACATTGAGATGCCACCACCCAACATTGAGATGGCTATAATTAAGAACTCTAATAACAATAGATGCTAGAGAGGATGTGGACAGAAGGGAACCTTACTGCATTGTTGGTGGGAGTGTAAACTTGTTCAACCACTTTGGAAAGCAGTATGGAGGTCCTCAAAAGACTCCACATAGAGCTCCCCTATGACCCAGCAATCCCACTTTTGGGCATTTACCCAAATGATCATAAACAAGGCCATCCAAAGCTACCAGCACAACTATGTTTATCGCAGCATTATTCACCATAGCTAAGATATGGAACCAACCCAGATGCCCCTCAGTAGACAAATGGATCAATAAAATGTGATGTGTATAAATATATATACATATATATGTATACAAATATATACATACATATACAAGTATATTTATATATATTTATATACACATACACACACACAAAATGGAATTCTATGCCTCCATCAGAAAGAATGACACTGTCCCATTTGTTAGGAAATGGAAAGACTTGGAAAAATTACATTGTGAAGGAAACCAGGCCCAAAGAAACATAGGTCCCACGATTTCCCTTACTTGCAATAACTAGTATACATCTAGGACAAGCAGAAAAGGTCAAAAGGTATGTACAGTTGACCATTTAAGATGATGCTAAGCAAAATGAGCCCCAAGATAGGGACACAAGAGGTTTTATCATTGTTACCATTATTTTTAATGTACTTATATACTATGTGATTTTGTTTCTTATAGTACCTATGTACTGTATGATTTCTTATAGTGTTTCTTCTTATGTATTTCTTATAGTACTTATGTACTATGTGATTTTTTTGTTTCTTTTGTACGTTCTTCCCCCATGGTATAACCACTGTTTTCACTGTATTTGATTCCAGTACCCTGCATCTTGTATATACATTTTTCTAATTTGGGGAGGGAAAGGGAAATAACAAAACGCTGAAACAAGGATACCGGTGACCCACTGTAACAATGAGATGTACAAGACACCATGTAGAAAATGAACTTTACAATTTGGGGGTGGGACAGGGAGGAGTTAGGGAGGTAAGGAGAGAAGGTATGGTAGGGGAAAAACAAAGGAGCAGGGTAATAATGCTCCATAGGAAATGTACTCATTACCTTACTCAAGTAACTGTAACCCCTCTGTACAGCATCTTTGCAATAAAAAATATAAGAAACTCAAAATCATCATGCTGAGTGAAAGTGAATCACTAAACTAAATTATATTGACTAAGCTGGGTGCTAGTGGCTCACACCTGTAATCCTAGCTACTCAGGTGGCTGAAATCAGCAGTTCAAGGACAGTATGGTCAGGAAAGTCCGTGCGATTCCTATCTCCAATTAACCACCAGAAAATTGGAAGTAGCTCTGTGGCTCAAGTGGTAGAGCACTCACTTTGAGCTGAAGAGCTCAGGGCCCAGAGTTCAAGCCCCACGACCAACCAAAAAAATAAAATGAAATAAAATTATATTGACTATAGGATGCTACTTACATGAAATTCAAAAGGAAATATAGTGACAAAAATTTAAAAATCAGATCAATGATTGTCTGAGGTGAGAAAGGAAGGAGAGAATAGAATTACAAAGGGGAAGATGAAAGATGAGTCCTGCTTATTGATTGTGATGTGGTTGTATGAAAATGTCAACCTCATCAAATTTAAGTTGATCATTTATTGTGAAGCTGATTTAAAAACAAGAAGTATCCAGGAGGGAAAACACATATTACAAAGGGAACAATGACATGAATGACAACTGCTATTACATCAACAAACAATAACGGCCAAGAGTGACATCACAAGACAGTGGAATAGGAAGACAGTTCCCAGACACTACTTTCCACGGGTAATAAGGAGGCTGTAACTTAACAACATATGGCTCAGAAAGTCTTTATGAGAATGCTAGAAACCAGTCAAGATATCACAGCACCCTTGGCAAACTCAACGTTTGGGACTGCACTGATAAGGGTAAGAAGAGTCATTTCATTTCAATCATCAGGTTTTCTCCACACAGGTTTTCTCCTCAAAGCTCTGTGAGATTAGGAAGAAAAGCCTTGATGACACAAGAGAGACAGAAACAAAAAATGCGGAACATGTATTCAAGTCCAGCTTTCTAGGGTACTTCCCAAAAGACTCCATTCAATCTCCCCATACTTGGAGCCCTGATGACCATCTGAGTGTCAACCTTAAGGTCTGCGGGGCCTCAGAAAAAAAACAGAACTTAGATATGAGTATTACAGGTGCCTGCCTATAATCTTAGCTACTGGGAAGAGATTGTGTGTGTGTGTGTGTGTGTGTGTGTGTGTTTGTGTGTGTGTGTATAAGAGGATGGACTTTGAGGCCAACCGAAGCAAAGTTAGCAAGATCTTATCTCAAAATCAAAATAAAGCCAATGTGGTTCATTCCTGTAATTATAACTACTCTGGAGGCAGAGACTGAGAAGCCAATACTTGTGTTGATCCAGGCAAAAGTTTGCCAGATTCCATCTCAATGAATAAAATCTGGATGTAGTGCCATAACATTGACACAGCAGCTATGCAGAGAGCACAGAGGAAGACGGTGACTCACAGGGTGTTCTATGCAGAAAACAAGGCCCTATTTTTTAAAAATAGCAAAAACTAAAGAAAAAATTTAGGACTGTAGCCCAAGTGGTAGATTCCTGCACAAAGCTCTGAGTTCCAAGAGCGAAAAACAAAAGGAATGAGGGTGTGGCTCAGGTGGTAGAGTCTTTGCCCAGCATATATAGGAAAGACCCTGAGTTCAATCAGTGGCTACTGTGACAACAGTAGTAGCTTACAACATCACAAATAAATAGCCCACAAAGTTCTGCATGGCTGTGAGAAAGTGTACAGCTGTGACACCTCTCCTGGGAGGGAGCAGCTCAGAGGACTGACTTCTGTCTCACCCAACTTCAGTCACAGCATTGGAATAAGCACAGATTTAACATCCAAAAAGCATTATTCATAAAAGAAAAGCTTGACAAGAGGATTTTTATCACATTTACATCACTTTATCACTATCAGAAGACATCATAAAGGTAACTGAAAAGCAAACTACAAATAGGAAGAAAACATTTATAAGGCACTTATTCAATAATAAACTTACATAATTAATGAAACAACAAAGTAATAAAAGAGATAACTGACCATTAAGCACATGAAATATGTTCAACATCCTAAGTAATCAGAGAAGAACAAATTGAAGGCTTAGGGAGACAGCACTGTACATGAACTAGAATAAATAAATGCTAACTTTGGTAGGATCTAGTGATGTTTCAATTCTTCAGTTCTTGTTTATTAATGATGATGGCAAAACACTTAGGGCGAACCTTATAAAACTAAACATGTACCTACCTTATAATCTATTCTACTCTGTTCTGTTGTGTTCTATTCCTATATTTCCCAAAAGAATTTTTAAAAAAACCTGCTTGGTTCAAACCTATAACCTGAGCTACTCAGGAGACTGAAATCTGAGTATCACAGTTTGAAACCAACCCAGGTGGAAAAGTCTGTGAAACTCCTATCTCCAATTAACCAGCAGAAGATGGAAGTGGAGCTATAGCTCAAGTAAGAGTGTCAGCCTTAAACTAAAAGCTAAGAAACAGCATATTGACCCTGAGTTCAAGGCCCAGAATGAGCAGCAAAATAAATAAATAAAATTAAATAAAAGGATCAAAAGCATTCATCTATAGAAAAAATTTTACAAGAAGGTTTGTGTTATTCATAATAGCCAAAAACTAGAAACAACTTGATTGTTCATCAACAGAATAAGTTGTGATACATATAATCCAAGTCAAGAATAAACTACTGATATATAGAATCACATGAATCAGTCTCAAAGAGACTAAAAGTAGCCAGAGTGAAAGATTGTGTGATGTTCTAACTTCTACCAATCAATGATAATAAAAATATCAGATAAAATGAGTATCTAATGGAGGTCTGAGTTAGTTAGTTGGACACAAGGAAACTTCCAAGGATAATAGGAATATTCTATGTCTTGATTAGGGTATTGATTAAACTGGAGGACACATTTATCAAAACATCAAACTATATCTTATGTACAGCTCACCGTATGTAAATTTTACCTCAAAATAGAAAGAAAAAAAGTCACTTAAAAATGTCAACATTCGGGCTGGGAAGGTGGCTCAGTGGTAGAGCACTTGCCTTGCATGCTTGAGGCCCTCGGTTCAATTCCTCAGCACCACATAAGCAGAAAAAAAAAGCCAGAAGTGGCGCTGTGGCTCAAGTGGTAGAGTGCTAGCCTTGAGCTGAAGAGCTGAGGGACAGCGCCCAGGCCCAGAGTTCAGGCCCCACGACCGGACCCCCCCCAAAAAAAAAATGTCAACATTCAACAAGATGAAATTACACTTTCTAAAGTGGCATATGTTGAAAAAGCCTGCAAGAACTTTATTATTAAACCTTAAATAAGGTTTAATAAAGGTTCCTCAAGTTTAAAATAAAACCTTAAGTAATGGTATAAAATCTATTAATACAAATACTACTCAGAATACAAGAATTTCTTTGAGCTGTAAGGAATTTCAATACAGTGCTTCTGGCTACTTCTACTATAAAGTGGCTAGAAAAATGGTATAAACTTTTTCAAGCAGATGACGAATAAAGATTTAGATAAATAGAAAAAGTAACAGGAAGTAACAGAACGCTCAATACAGAAGAAGGAAGGCAAAATACCTGTTGGGAGAGGAATATATATCCTTTTTTCTAATCGCCTTCGCAGAGCTTCATCAATGTCCCATGGGAAATTAGTGGCAGCCAATACCATAACCATTTTGGAAGGATCATCATTTTCTAAGGCTCCTCCAACCCCTAGACACAGTCCATGAAGAAAATGCTGTCAGTGTTTTTATTGTGTCTTAGAATTCTTCCTGGAAGCTAACATATCTAAACATTAGCCATTGTACTTCATGGGAAGCCAATGAGGGAAATACTGCAGTCTCTTTGATTTCTATATGGTGTTCAAATGAGACATATTAACAGAGAACCACAAAACAAGGAAGCCAAAGAATTCACATAATCCAGTGCAGGGTTTGAATCCAATAATACAAGCAATTTTTCTGTACCAAAATAAATGTGTATTACCTATGATAAAGAAAGATATCGGAGTCTAGGCTCTGTTTTAATTCTTCCCTTCTATTTTAACCATATCTTCCTAAAAAGTATTTTAATTATTTATTATATTAGTTATTTATATTATGCTATTTATTATTATAAATAACTCCAATCATTAAGTTCTCTTGAGAAATTAGAAGAGCCAAGCAGTCATATTTACTTAATATAGTAACATGAATTTTTTAAGTGGCTCACTGGAAAATAACAAAAGAGAGAATTTAAGAATGAACCTAATTACCAAGCACTGATGAACTACTGGATTTTGTTTTGTAATCAAACCAGTAACAGATGCATAGAATCTACTTTTTCATAATTAAAATTATAGGATAAAGAATTTCTAGTCATACAATAGAAAAACTTGAAAATAGTGATAAAAATGTACACATATCACAAACTTTACTGATATGACTTGGTAGCTGAACTATAACAGTAGTAAATTTAGAGCAACCAGTTTAATGCACATTTTCTTATTATTAAACTCCTATGTCAATCATTATCAATTAGAATCAAGCTTTCCAAATAACAGACTATAAACATGTTTCCATAAATCCTGCTAAATTTTATTCAGTCTTTTTTCTCTCCAATTTTAAACATATAAGGTTCTTAACATCCATCACACCAAATATGTCATTCACTTAATCAGAAGTTAAATGGTTAACTCTTGAAGGAACTGACTCAATGCATTATTTTGTCTTACGATGGTCCACAGTGTATTCAGAACACATTGTAAGTATTTGGTGGACAATTTACACACTATTTCCTATTTAGCAGTGGTTTTCAAACTTGTTGATCTCAAGATCCTTTTGCATACTTACTGGAAGCTCCAAAGAGGTATGTAGAATATATCTATCAATATTTGCCATTAGAAATTAAAACAAAAGGGCTAGAAATATAACCCAGTGACAAAACACTTGCCTAGCATGCACAAGGCCCTGAGTTCAGTCTCCAACCAGGAGGAGGAAAGAGAGGAGACAGGAGAAAAGAGGAGCGAGAGGGTCGAGGGAAAAAGGTAGAGTGGAGAGAGAGAAAGAGAAAGAGAGAGAGAGAGAGAGAGTGTGTGTGTGTGCGTGTGTGTTTGAAAATCATAAGAAATGAGTAAGCCAAGTGTTAATGGCTTGTGCCTGTAATCGGAGCTACTCAAGAGGCTGAGATCTGAGTTTGAAGCCAACCTGAGCAGAAAAGCCTGTGATACTATCTCCAATCAACCACCTAAAAACTGGAAGTGTAGTTATGGCTCAAGGTGGTAGAGTGCTAGCCTTGAGCACAAAAGCTCAGGGACAGCACTTAAGCCCTGAGTTCAAGCCCCACAACTGACCAAAGAACACCAGAAATGAGTAGGAAGGAACCAGCAAACATTTTAATGTCTAGCTAAATAGAGATCAGCTAGATCCTCCCATCTGCTCCTGCTTTCCATCTTTATGATATTCCCAAGTTTCGCTGCTTCTAGAAAACTGCTCTTTTTTTATAGACCTTTTTGTGATACTGGGATTGAACTCAGAATCTCATGCTTATTAGGAAGATACTCAACAACCAAGCCACACCTCCAGCCCTTTGTAAACCCTTTTAAAGGGTCTCAAGGTTCCTAGCCAGCATTCTAGATTATACCTGGAGAGCCTATGTTCTAATAGTGAGTTCTTTCAAGACCAAAGAAGCCATTTCCTCTGTAACCTACTTGATTCATTAGAAGTATACAATAATGCTTTTGAATGCATGAACAAATAAGTGGCTGAAAAATGATTAAAAATAAACTCCAGCTGCTTTCATGTCTATTCATTGAGAACTTCCAAAATACAAGTCTAGACCATTCAAAAAGGAAAGAGCAATTCTGAGGTAATAGTTAAATGTCAATTACCATCCATCTGAATGAGGAGCTCAGACTTCACTCTGCGACTTGCCTCATGTTCATCAGAGGTTCCTCTTCGACTACAGATAGAGTCTATTTCATCAATGAAGATCGTGGTAGGGGCATAAAACCTAGCCTTTGTGAAAATATTTCCAAGAAATCATTTAGCTCATAAGAGAATCTGAATATTTTTAAAGTAGCATTTTCTCCTTTTAAAATGTTAACAAAAGAAAGTTGAAACTTCTAGTGTCTCCAATTGGTTAGATATAGCTAACCCAACTAGTCACATCAGAAACTTTTTTGGGGGGGAGGGTCCAGTTGTGGGGCCTGAACTCTGGGCCTGGGCGCTTCCCTCAGCTCTTCAGCTCAATGCTAGCACTCTACCACTTGAGCCACAGCACCACTTCTGTTTTTTTTTTCTTTTTACTTATGTGGTGCTAGGGAATCGAACCCAGGGCCTCAGGCATGCAAGGCAAGCGCTCTACCACTGAGCCACCTTCCCAGCCCCACATCAGAAACTTTTAACAATAAAAATGATATGGCTATCCAGGCACTGGTGGCTCATGTCTATAATCCTAGCTATTCTGGAGGCTGAGATCTGAGGATCATGGTTTGGAGCCAACCCAGGCAGAAAAGTTCCTTGTGAGACTCTTATCTCCAATTAACCACTCAAACCAGAAGTAGAGCTATGGCTCAAAGTGGTAGAGTGCTAGCATTGAGCAAAAGAGTTCAGGGACAGCGCCCAGGCCCTGAGTTCAAGACCCAAAACCACCATCACCAACAATAATAACAAAACAGAAAAATAAAAAGTATATGGTTGATGAAACTGAGTAGTAGTAGATACATGGAGATGTACTGTGCTGTTCTGTGATTTGTGTTTAGAAATTTCCATAATGAAAATTTGTTTCAAGATAGTCATCTATACTCAAACATTCATTACTGCGAACCATTACTGAAAAGAAACTTCCATGACAGATCTGTTTCTAGCTTCTAACTTCCTTCAGCTCCACCAACATGCCAGACATCCAGAGACACTGATCAGCCCATGCATGACCAGCTTCTACTACAGCTGGACAGGGTGACAAAAGGGCCCACAAACCCCACACCACATTTCATTAGTGTGTCTAGAACTGAAAATATGACCACCCTGCTACTCTTTTTAAAAGATTCCTGCCTGACATCTGTGGCTCACACCTGAAATCCTAGCTACTCAGGAAGCTGAGATATGAGGACTGTGGTTCAAAGCCAGCGTGGGCAAGGAAAGTCCGTGAGACCTCTTATCTCCAATAAACCACTCAAAAAAACGGAAGTGGTGCTCAAGTGGTAGAGTGCTCACCTTGAGCTGAAGAGCTAAGGGACAGTGCCTAGGCCCAGAGTTCAAGCCCCATGACCGACAAAAAAAAAATTCCTAATTGAGCACATCTAGCTTGCGGGGCATCCTGTGCCTATACAAACAAACAGTGCCTTGATATCTGAATACATTGTCACTCACCATTTCAAACAGCAGACGAACTAACTTTTCTGATTCACCTCGGTATTTGGATGTCAGTGTAGAAGAAGAGACGTTGAAGAATGTTGTACCACATTCAGTGGCAACAGCTTTAGCTAGCATAGTCTTACCAGTGCCTGGGGGTCCAACCATCAATACACCCTGAAATTTCAAAATTGGTTTATCAAATTCAAATGCTTTGTCATAAATTTTCAAGTATTTATGTTGAGTTACATGAATATTTCCACATCAAAATAAAATTGATGTATACAAAGACATCAAATAAAATTGATGTATACAATTACAACAACTGTCACAGTTAGACTATGGTACATTTGGCAAGAAATCATTTTTATAGAGAAAAAAATGAAGATAATATCACCAAAAGTTTCAGATCAGTAGTCAGAGATAAGCTAATAAATGGCTTAGACAACCAAGAACCTCCTGATGCATTTAGAAAGAACCATTTCTGAACCCAGTAAAGATATTTATGTATAGTTTTGCACAGTTTAAAAATGACTGCTCTGTTTAAACGTTATGAAAGCAAATGATGACTTTCTATTACACAGGGAACCAACCACAGAATTTTGTTATATGTTAAAGGACAAATCCTACTTCTCATTAATTCATATTGGTTTTTAATTGAACAGAGATCCCCTTATGAGTTAATACAACAATCAAATCCAGTGCTGATTCAAATAGTCTAATTAGCAGCAATTATATCAGTTTAATGTACCATATAGCATGCATAAAATAGTATTAAGTGATGAAAGAGCACTAAGTATAGACTAAAAATTAAATTCAATTATTTCTTAACTTTGAAAGCAAACACAAACATCCCTGAGAAATAAAAGTTACTCAGAGAAACCGACCTTTAAGTCTTGAAGATTAATAAATTTTTAAATAATTTTTCTTCCAATATTTTTTTATTTTTGGGGGGAGGGGGGTCCGGTCGTGGGGCCTGAACTCTGGGCTTGGGTGCTGTCCCTCAGCTCTTCAGCTCAAGGCTAGCGCTCTTACCACTTGAGCCACAGCGCCACTTCTGGATTTTTTCTTTTTGCTTATATGGTGCTGAGGAATCAAACCCAGGGCCTCATGAATGCAAGGCAAGCGCTCTACCTCTGAGCCACCTTCCCAAGCGCTCTACCTCTGAGCCACCTTCCCAGCCCCATCTTCCAATATTTTTAATGGGAGTTCAGATACATAGCTAATGCTTACACACACACACACACACACACACACACCACATAATTCTTGGTTTGATAAGCTTCTGGAAGTTTTAAGGGAAAGAAAGGAAACCAGGTACATAAGGATAAAAAAGTGGGAAACAAAACATGTGGCAGGTAATATGTACACATACCATAGTATATGTACCAATACATCACATGTGTTCCCATAGTGCCTCAGGCTCCTGGACCATTATGATGTGAGTTCCTGCTCAAAAACTTCTTCCCACAATCCTCTGGATGTCTGCTCAACTAATGAAAAAAGAGGGTAGCATATGCACAAGTAATCAAGCAGCCAGAACAAAGCACAGGGGAAGTGATTATGGGAGGAGCCTTGAGCCATAAAAACTGCCCTCCAAGAGGGCTCCACTGGACTCTGGAATCCTCTGGTCTCTAGAGAATGTCCCTAGTTTCTGTTGCTTTCTTTGCATTTTCAAATGAACTTGTGGATCTGCTTTAAACACTTTTCCTGTCTTCTAATTCTTTAATTTAATACACACCCTAGATAGCATCAGTTTAATTTTAAATTCTGTGTGTATATTGAAGTCTCATAAACTCAAACTTGAGAAACCACTCAAATGCTTTCCTGGCTATAGAATTTTGATCCACAGAACAAAACAAAGGCCTCCAGTATTTGAAACATTAGTCATATAAAAATTTGTTTTTGCTTTGAAGGGAGCTTTTAACTATGAGATTAAAATTCTGGAAATAGAAAACAGAAACTAATGGCACTGCTATGAGGCACAAGTATAGCAAAGTGCAGTGCTTGGATTCCAGATATGCACTACCATGCCCAGTTTCATATTCTCTTTTTAAAATTCCTTTTCAGGGGCTGGGAAGGTGGCTCAGTGGTAGAGCGCTTGCCTTGCATGCATGAGGCCCTGGGTTCGATTCCTCAGCACCACATAAGCAAAAAGAAAAAAGCCAGAAGTGGCTCTGTGGCTCAAGTGGTAGAGCGCTAGTCTTGAGCTGAAGAGCTGAGGGACAGCACCCAGGCTGAGTTCAGGCCCCACGACCAGACCCACCCTCCAAAAAAAAACAAAATAAAATTCCTTTTCAATGCTCTCTTCATACCTATAGTGTCAGTAATGTGGCTGCCTCCAACAGGAATTTCCACGTTAATTTCCATCTGCATGCAGAAATAACTCAGATATTGTACAGTATTTCTGAATCTCACCTCCTCATATTACTCCTCCAACGATCCCCTTTCCTGTATCTGCTTGTCTACTGGCTCTTTCTCCACAGTGCAAAAACACACTTACAAGCTAAGGGTAAAGCTCAGTGGTAAAGGGCCTACATAGAATGTGGAATGCCCTGGGTCCAATCCATAGCATGACAAAAACAGAAAAGAGAAGAGAGGGGAAGGGAAGAATGGGAAGAAGAAAAGGAAAGGAAAGAAATATACTGAGAGTTGGGTGGCAGTGGCTCACAGGAGGCTAAGACCTGAGGATTATGGTTCGAAACCAGCCCAGACAGAAAAGCCTGTGAGACTCTTATCTCCAATTAAGTACCAAGAAAGGCAGAAGTGGAGCTGTGGCTCCAAAGGTAGAGTACTAGTGCTGAGCAAAAAAGCCCAGACACTGTCCAGGTGAGTTCAAGACTCAGAATCCTACATATGTATGGATGTGTATGTGTATATGTGTGTACCTATATACATACATATGTATGTATACACACACTAAAATCTGTCCCCTTAAAGAATCCTTCACTTGACCCTACACAAGCTCTGGCTAGTATCCAGTTTTTCCTCTTCTTAGCCTTTTTAAAGAAGAGATCTGTACTCACGCTTCAACCTTCACAGGCTACAATCTTCCCTTTGCTTTTACCACTTCACTAAGATCACCTAGTGTACTAGAGCAGCAGTCCAGCTTCCACCTCATCTCCTGGCCTTCTCTATATCATATGTCATCCCCTTCCTCCTGACCACCTGTCTCTTCCTGGGGCTTCTCCTACTTTCAGACTAGTTTCAATGCTTTCAGGTCTCCTCCCCTGCCCTATATGCTCCTAAATCAATTCTAAAACTTTGCTCATTGTACTTGATAAAACCCCTTGAACAAATTCAACTATATTCATATCATCAACCACTACTTCTATGTCACAATTTTAATTTAAATTCTATTGAAGATACAGATCTCAAGTTCCAATTAACTGCAGAGTATTTATTTACCTAAACACATTTTTGTTTCTATTCAAACCTGTCAGGCATTTTTTGTGATTGTTTTCAATTTCCATATCAGTTCACTGCTGTCTGTATAAATGCATAATAAAGAATTTGGCTGACTTTCTTCCCAAATGGATGGAAAACAGCCTCTGAGGACTTGGGAGTATACTGAGTGTCAGGAGTGTCCTTATTATTCATGATGGGCTCTGTAATTTTATGCTCATGGAGTTACTCAAGCTGAGTATCCGTATAGTTCATGCTAGCAACACTGAGTCAGGATGGAGGATGACTTAGTCAGAAACACTAACCAAGTGATCAGAGAATTCTATTTCTGAGTGCTGTGATAGCAGCTCAACCTCTGGGAGGTAAAAGGAGCTAGAAGTTGATTAAGATCCACAGGCAATGATTCTACTGATCATACCTTATAATAAAACCCCAATTTAAAAAAATCTAGATACAACACTGTCCAAAAAAGAAACATATTACCTGACTCCTAACCTAACCCCTTTGTATACCACCTAAACAATAAGGTTATATTTAAAAAAAAAAAAACAAAACTCTGCACATAGCCAGCCACTCAAAGGAGTTTCAAGTTTGCCATACATCACAGGCCAGGAGAGTAAAGCACCTTGACCCCACAGAGAAAAGACAAAAGAAATGTCACATCTTGCATGCTTCCAGTCTTTACTTCCCCTCTGCACCTCTCCTTTTGATTGGCTTTGATCTGAATCCTTTGGCAATACTGTAATTATAAGTGTCCTTGGAGGTACTGTAGAGATTATCAGAGCTGAGAGGGACAAAGAAGCCCTGAATTTGTAGCCAGTTGTTCAGAAGCAAGAGTGACCTGGTGACCCCCAAGTTTGTGGCAGATGTGTGCAATGAGAATAGCCCTGTAAAAATCAGCTCTCAGATATACAAGACGTTATGTCGAAAAATGAACTTTACAACTTTGGCTGGGGGTGGGGGGTGGTGGGGAGAAGAAGGTGGGAGGGGAAAACAAAAGAGGAGGCAACAATGCTTGATAAGAAATGCACTCATTACCTTGCCCATGTAATTGTAACCCCTCTGTACGGTATTTTCACACACACACACACACACACACACACACAAATCAGCTCTCAATCCACACTTTGGTCCAAATCTGGGCACGTGGTGGTGTCAGAAACTACTGAGCATTCATTCCTTCAATTCAACCTGGAATCTATCCCTCTCTTATCCCTATAAAACAGTCACATACCTTCTAAAATCTCTCACAAATCAACTCACTTTTCTCTAGTCCAATAACTAACTTCTGGTTAGGCCCTCACTGTCTGTGACAGCTTCTGGATCATGTTCCTTATCTATAGCCACCGGAGTCCATCTCTATTTCACTCTCTGTTGTTGGGATGCCTCTCTCTCTCTCTCTCTTTCTTTCTTCCTTTTGCCAGTCGTGTGGCTGGCCCTGGAGGCACTGTCCCTGAACATTATTGCTCAAAACTAGCAATCTACTACTTTGAGCCACAGTGCCATTTCCGGTTTTCTGGAGACTAATTGAAGTAAGCGTCTAATGGACCATCCTGCCTGGGCTGGTTTTGAACTGCAATTCTCTCATATCACAGCCTCCAGAGTAACTAGGGTTACAGGTATGAGCCACAGGTGCCTGGCTGTTTCTGCATTTCCAAGTCACTCTCCTTCCACTCTTCAATGGATCAGACATCTTTAGCATGGCATGTGGGGCTCTTCGTGGGTCCCATTTACCATTCCAGCATGTCTTTTGTTATTACTATGCCCCACAA